GGGTATACATACTTCTTATATACCGAACCCATTATAATCCTTTGAATTCGGTTCTATTTTTGTACAGCCATTTCATCATTCTATTTGAATGATAATCATATGCTTTCGTCTTATTCACTCTGAATGACTTGTAGCAATATTAGAGAAAATAATATCCTTTAACGGTATCAAATTATAACAGACGGTTACAGCTTAATTAATAAGGCCTACAACTTAGGGTTGGGAGATAATTCATTTTTGGAAATATATATTGCAATTATATTGCATGTTCTATAAGAAACGCCAGTCCGTAGTAAGTGTTCCTGTATTTATTTATTTTCCTTACATCAATCAACTCAGATAGTGTGACATCATGTACCTTGTTCCCCACCTAACGTGTGTTCATTTCATGTTCGTGTGTCATAATCAGCATTAGCGTGTGGGTGATGTTACACTCTGTGAACTGGCAGCATGAAATATATCATTTTATCATGTAACTATAGATCCAGTGATATACCACAAACACAACGCCAAGCCTTCATTCGCACTCACTGCGCTTAACAAATCAGAAAGGGCTCCCCCTACCTGCAAGACTTACTGCAGGTGAAAAGAGTCGTTTGATGTCAACGATCAAAGAAATCGCTCGTTCAGGTAGATAAGTGTGTATTCTCGCTTCCCAACCGGTAAAAGCTATGTGTGACTTTACAACACAGCGACATGAATATCCACCGCTATCTGCTTGTCGGGGAGGCATCCACAGCTCCGGCCAGCGATGAACACAGTTACAGGGTCTCAGTGGTAGAGTATTTGTTAGGGAGCCTGTGATCTACTGCTCCTTTCGCGTGGACTAGAACTGCGTCAGATCAGCATCTTGGATAACTACTACGTAAGATTATCTTTAACAGCCGAACGATCGATCTTATCAGTGTCATGATGACACTAAGTCTTCCAAACAGTCACGGAGACGTTCAGCTAACTCAATTGTTTAATCCTCTATTTACTTAAATTTTATTAAATCGCCATGATATCAAGTCTGGCCGTTAACTGACGTAGAATAGGCCATGTGTAGTTCACAGTTAGCAGGAGATTGAACAGATCAGAACGTATAACGTACAGTGGTAGGAGATTGACAAAACAGGACATATATAGTACAGAGTTAGGGGGAGATTGACAAAGCAGGATATATATAGTACAGAGTTAGAGGGAGATTGACAGAGCAGGACATATACAAGGTTAGAAGGAGATTGACAGAGCAGGACATATACAAGGTTAGAAGGAGATTGACAGAGAAGGACATAAATAGTACAGAGTTAGAGGGAGATTGACAGAGCAGGACATATATAGTACAGAGTTAGAGGGAGATTGACAGAGCAGGACATATATAGTACAGAGTTAGAGGGAGATTGACAGAGCAGGACATATATAGTACAGAGTTAGAGGGAGATTGACAGAGCAGGACATATATAGTACAGAGTTAGAGGGAGATTGACAGAGCAGGACATATATAGTACAGAGTTAGAGGGAGATTGACAGAGCAGGACATATATAGTACAGAGTTAGAGGGAGATTGACAGAGAAGGACATAAATAGTACAGAGTTAGAGGGAGATTGACAAAGCAGGACATATATAGTACAGAGTTAGAGGGAGATTGACAGAGCAGGACATATATAGTACAGAGTTAGAGGGAGATTGACAGAGAAGGACATATATAGTACAGAGTTAGAGGGAGATTGACAAAGCAGGATATATATAGTACAGAGTTAGAGGGAGATTGACAGAGCAGGACATATACAAGGTTAGAAGGAGATTGACAGAGCAGGACATATACAAGGTTAGAAGGAGATTGACAGAGAAGGACATAAATAGTACAGAGTTAGAGGGAGATTGACAGAGCAGGACATATATAGTACAGAGTTAGAGGGAGATTGACAGAGCAGGACATATATAGTACAGAGTTAGAGGGAGATTGACAGAGCAGGACATATATAGTACAGAGTTAGAGGGAGATTGACAGAGCAGGACATATATAGTACAGAGTTAGAGGGAGATTGACAGAGAAGGACATATATAGTACAGAGTTAGAGGGAGATTGACAGAGAAGGACATAAATAGTACAGAGTTAGAGGGAGATTGACAGAGAAGGACATAAATAGTACAGAGTTAGAGGGAGATTGACAGAGCAGGACATATATAGTACAGAGTTAGAGGGAGATTGACAGAGCAGGACATATATAGTACAGAGTTAGAGGGAGATTGACAGAGAAGGACATATATAGTACAGAGTTAGAGGGAGATTGACAGAGAAGGACATAAATAGTACAGAGTTAGAGGGAGATTGACAGAGAAGCACATAAATAGTACAGAGTTAGATGGAGATTGACAGAGCAGGACATATACAAGGTTAGAAGGAGATTGACAGAGAAGGACATAAATAGTACAGAGTTAGAGGGAGATTGACAGAGCAGGACATATATAGTACAGAGTTAGAGGGAGATTGACAGAGCAGGACATATATAGTACAGAGTTAGAGGGAGATTGACAAAACAGGACATATATAGTACAGAGTTAGAGGGAGATTGACAGAGCAGGACATATATAGTACAGAGTTAGAGGGAGATTGACAGAGAAGGACATATATAGTACAGAGTTAGAGGGAGATTGACAGAGAAGGACATATATAGTACAGAGTTAGAGGGAGATTGACAGAGAAGGACATATATAGTACAGAGTTAGAGGGAGATTGACAGAGAAGGACATAAATAGTACAGAGTTAGAGGGAGATTGACAGAGAAGGACATAAATAGTACAGAGTTAGATGGAGATTGACAGAGAAGGACATATACAAGGTTAGAAGGAGATTGACAGAGAAGGACATAAATAGTACAGAGTTAGCAGGAGACTGACAGAGCAGGACATATACAAGGTTAGAAGGAGATTGACAGAGAAGGACATATATAGTACAGAGTTAGATGGAGATTGACAGAGCAGGACATATACAGAGTTAGATGGAGATTGACAGAGCAGGACATATATAGGGTTAGAAGGAGATTGACAGAGCAGGACATATATAGGGTTAGAAGGAGACTGACAGAGCAGGACATATACAGGGTTAGCAGGAGATTGACAGAGCAGGTCATATACAAGGTTAGCAGGAGATTGACAGAGCAGGACATATACAAGGTTAGCAGGAGACTGACAGAGTAGGACATATACAAGGTTAGCAGGAGATTGACAGAGCAGGACATATACAAGGTTAGCAGGAGACTGACAGAGCAGGACATATATAGGGTTAGAAGGAGATTGATAGAGCAGGACATGTATAGGGTTAGCAGGAGATTGACAGAGCAGGACATATACAAGGTTAGCAGGAGACTGACAGAGCAGGACATATACAGGGTTAGAAGGAGATTGATAGAGCAGGACATATACAAGGTTTGCGGGAGATTGACAGAGCAGGACATATATAGGGTTAGAAGGAGATTGATAGAGCAGGACATATATAGGGTTAGCAGGAGATTGATAGAGCAGGACATATACAAGGTTTGCGGGAGATTGACAGAGCAGGACATATACAAGGTTAGCAGGAGACTGACAGAGCAGGACATATACAAGGTTAGCAGGAGACTGACAGAGCAGGACATATACAGGGTTAGCAGGAGATTGACAGAGCAGGCCACATGGAGTGTGGGGTTAGCAGGAGACTAACAGAGCAGGACATATACAGGGTTAGCAGGAGACTGACAGAGCAGGACATATACAGGGTTAGCAGGAGACTGACAGAGCAGGACATATACAGGGTTAGCAGGAGATTGACAGAGCAGGACATATACAGGGTTAGCAGGAGACTGACAGAGCAGGACATATACAGGGTTAGCAGGAGATTGACAGAGCAGGACATATACAGGGTCAGCAGGAGACTGACAGAGCAGGACATATACAAGGTTAGCAGGAGACTGACAGAGCAGGACATATACAGGGTTAGCAGGAGATTGACAGAGCAGGACATATACAGGGTTAGCAGGAGACTGACAGAGCAGGACATATACAAGGTTAGCAGGAGACTGACAGAGCAGGCCACATGGAGTGGGGTTAGCGGGGGACCGGACAAGGCCGCTGAGTCCTCACCACTGTGTGTTGTGGTTCTGGGAATTTTAAGTGCAATGAACGTGGGATGTTTGAAGGATTATCAGTGTTGTTTGAAACTGGCGTACCAGGTAATTTCGGTGTACTGTCTCTGAATCGTATCTTAGCAGCTCGGGCGACTCCTCCCCGCGTTTGAGGCTTGAACCCAGTGGCCTTGACAATGCGCACGTGTGAGGAGGAGAGGGTTTGTATACAGTGATCTCTGACAAAGACATGTTTATGTTGGTGTGTTGGACTTTATTCATGCTCAGCACGTAAAGGTTCACCTTGTTCTAAATCCGACAATTACACACCTGGTTACGCAATGTCCGCAATAAAGTCTAACGACGACCCAAGCCGTGATAGCTTCCACATTGATAAGTAGTGGCTGATTACTGAGTCTGAGACGGTTAAAGCAATGTTGCAAGCTAACCGGCAGCTGTCCATCCATTTAATGAGAACATTATATTAGCCTGGACGAGTGTTCGTGTTTATTTATAATAATCTGAAACAAACCCCTCCGATGTGTTAACAGTTACCTTTCCCCAGTAATAATTACCCATTTGTACGATAGAATATGTGAATCTGATCAATATATTTAAAAAAGTACTAAATGAGTTTGAAGGGTAAATTCTACGAAACGTTTTCAGCAAATATTAACAACTTGTATTAATACTCATAAATAATATCATTAAATCATATTTATTTAATATTGAATCAACTTGATAAATATATAAATATATGCGATGAAACACATATCCGCTTATCGCACATGAGATAAAATACACATCGGTATTTGTAATAAAACGCACATCTGCTTATATTCTAGTGTACGCATATATAATATACATGGAGTAAAAACACACACGCACATCTACGTGCCGTCCTTGGATCTTACCTCCGAGTAGCTCGTGGCCGAACATAGACCTCCCGCTTCCCATATTTGTACAGTTCCATCGCATATTTCTAAACTGATATTGGCACTCTTTTAATCCAATTTTGGCGCCTTCTCCTATGGCGACGATTGCGTCAGGTCGGCTTCTACATATCCCCCTTTGTTTCGGTGCTAGGCCCGGGATTTTGTTGCAGATGATATTGGCACCGAGGGCGACCACGGACGACAGGGCTCTGAAATTGACACTATTATTAGCGAAATGTTAATATTAAAAGGTTATGACGTGAGAACATACCCGCTACACACGGATAAATCACACCGGTCGTTTGAAGATTTGAAAAATGTTTTTATGACATCCATAGATGTATCGTACGAAATAATTGTACCTATACATACTATCAGAGACCGGCATTTGTAAATATGCCGCTCGTAAGGAAAGTTATATTGATGAATATGTTTTACGATTTGCAAATTAATATTTGCTCCAACAAGAACAATACAGTATTTTCTATGTTTGACTCGACATACCACTATCAGAATTCTTACTTAAAATTGAGTAAGTTGGAATAGTACATTGTACCGTCAGTATGTCGGTCATTTTGCGATTTAAAACGTAATAAAAAACTACAGATCCACATTCTTGTTTCCGGCAACCTATAACGACGGTCATACAATAATTATTACAAAATCTGAAATTAACATAAAATGATCAGAAATATTTTTTCCATAAATCGACATTCGATGTGATCAGGATTCCCTGGCATTATGCTTGGATTATTGAGTGAAGCTGATATAACAGTAAATTCATTTATTGAAAATATTCGTATTTGTTATTGTAACACCATAATTTGTGACACACAACATGAAAATATAAATTATTAATTTTTCAAACGACACCACTCATTTTGCCACCGAAGAAATTCCGTTCTTTTTTAATAAAGTACATATATAATATTCTAAAATAAAGCTGTGTGAATATTCGAGGAATTGTTTAATTATACAAAACTAATTATGTTATTTTATCCTGCCTTGAAATGCGAGAAACTACATTATCATTGCTTTCCATTAATTATTGTCCGCGAGATGCTATCAACATATGTGCTTACTTTGTTTTCCCCTACTGACAAATTACATTTTAAATATCTGATTAAGTATGACGTCATTTTAAAATCCTTCACAAGAAACTCTCCCACATGAAATATTACGTGGGACATTGTATCGTAAACAGCAGGAAGGGCGCACTATATCATTCTTGAAATAACTTTTAGAAAACTACTGCCCCCCCCCTGCAATTATCGCACTGAGTGCACTCGGCTGTTTGTCACTTGTCACAATGATAATTAGATATATTTTACATGCATATATCCACATTCTAAAGAGACAGTATCTTAACGTATATTCAGGGTCGAACAAATACCGCGATGATTTAACACGGCTTGCGTGGGGTGTGACGCGAATCATGCTAGTTTAGAATAATACAATTTAAGACTTCAACGGGTGGCCACTTTTTCGTATCGTATGTCAGATCGCTGGCGATATTTACACAAACAGTGAGCACAGGTTATCAGAAATTTCACTATGTATTTATAATCTTACAAGATCCTTTGCTTATTGTCCATATGTCTACAGAATATTTCAAACAAGTATGACCCGTGGCGTCAGGGACAAATAGCAAACAGTGTATTAACGTCGACGAATGATCAATGTCGTTATAAACCAATCCATCACAACATTACTGTACTGATCCGCCGTGGCGCAGGACAGGCGGAAACTCCACTTGGTTGTATGCTTTTCATACTTGCTCCAAGTATATATTTGTTGCCCATTTTTTCATCCCTCACAAGAAAAATGACTGTAAATAATCCTGTTTTAGACACGCCTTGTGTTCGAGGTGTGCTGAACGGACACACACACACAAGGCGATGCACATGTCAACAAGCCGTGCATCAGCTGATGATATTGACAAGTATACAGAGGAACGACAATCCAGCTCTGCTATTGACAAGTATATAGATGTATTCCACTTCTCATACTCACAGGAAGTTTCCATAAACACAATAGGATAGATAAATCAGCCCCAGCATAAACTTAGTGTGGCGGCTAAAGCCCATCCTTGTACGAGGACATTCTCCGTGATAGTTGGTTGCCGTGTGACAGACTAGAGCTAAAGGACTAAACTGGCAGACATAATTCCACCTGGCAGACGGTTAAAGCATCACCCAAACTGCAGATCAACATACAGCAACCAGCTCAAAAGCCAGCAAGTGAATCTATTGGACTATCGGTCTGAACAGTTTGGTCCGGTGAGTTTTTTTCTTTACAGGGTCTGAAACTCTGATTGGTTGAGAACGATGGAGCCACGCCCCCTTTCTCTGCTTCGGCGATTTTGAGAAAAGTGTATGTCATTTGTTGTCGAGCATTAGAAATTGACAGTTTGGAGGGAATATAACTGATTGTTTCTCGTCTTGATATTGTCAGTGTGTATGTGCGATGTCGAGGAGCCGTGTGGTATACCTGGCGTGTCTACTCGCTGTAGTCGTAATTTGTCGCCGGAGCGGGACGGCGGAGATGTGTTGTATACTATGAGTGATTGGACTTAAACTCCCGCAACAACTTTTGCCGATCCACATGTACTGAATAGATATTACACTATAGAACACTGCCAACGCGTCGCCTCTCATGGAATATTTAGATATTTTCTTTAGAAGGTTTTTCAGTTGTTAATATTTGTTTCAATATTCCTTTACACAACAATTTTATGTTAGTTTGAAAATCACTTGAAAAAGCACTTATGCCTTTTCAATTATCCGTATTATTTGTTTTTCTTCAATCTCCATAACAAAATGCAGTTCAAAAGCATAAATCTGTTTAGAATAATATCTTTATTCTTAAGAGGTAAGAACGCATATTTTTTTGTTCGTGAGATTTAAATACACTTGAAGCTAAAAAAATTGAAAAACCCTTGGTTTCATTTTTACCTACAAAGACTAACTGATCTAAATTCCGGCGACTCCTAATAACGATTGCACGGCGGCTACATAAGCGGGGGCCTATCACCTACATCAAACGACTGGAATGTGTGCAACTCTTAACTCTTCTCTTTGAACTGTCCACCCGTTGTCCGTTTGCATGCTTTGGATATTGTTAATATAGTCCACTGTATTCACGTGTGAGTGACGGATATTGACCCGGGCTATTGACAACTAGTTGAGAAATACTGGCATATTTAGCATGGACAAGGATCCAGAAATCTTTTCAGAAAGGCGAACAATTGCTGTGCGAGTAACCCCTTTCGTTTCTATTACTGCGTAGATTTTGCCATTCAGTGACTCGCTTACTTCCAGTGTTTGATGTACCGTTCTCTCAATGAGGTGCAGTTGATCGAAGGTTATATTGCAATTTTATCTAGGTATATTCAATCAAAGGTAAACTATTTCGATAGACTATTAATACAGGTAATCCTTGAGTTTCTTCAGCGAGTCTTTTGTGACTTATGGAGGGTTATGGTTGTTAAAGGATTAGTAAATAATTGTACATTTCTAAGGATTTGTAAAGATATTAGTTTTTCCAGAAGATCTGCGTTACCATGTCAGACAATGAGATGAGACATTTAAAGAGTATACCCATTTGGTAACTTATAACACATCTTTATTTATACCCGTTTATTCGTTATTTATACCCGCTTATTCGTTATTTATACCCGCTAACTGTGAATTAAACATGACCTATGTCATCAGGAAAATTATGAAATTACAGTTATAAATATGATATTGTTCGAGGCTCCTAACTACTGTGAAAAAATACTGACGCAGTTATAGCAAGATTCGGTGTATTATAGCAATATTTAGCAGATATTTCTTATCATTATGGAATGGGTTTTGCCGCTCGCAATTATTCAGAAATTGTAATATTTTGTATATGCAAATATTGTTACAAATAAAAAGCGACGACAAAAATATTTCCATTATCATAAGAAATCTCTACCATACAGCAAGGCCAACTGGACGAGTCCGACACTCGTGAGCATAGTGTTATGAACATCTCTGAAATAATTTGTTTGTAAACACACTTGAATATTATGACGGACACGGCGACATACCGGTTGTGCGTGGAACAATCGAACAAAACTTGACTCACTTGAATTTCTAAAATTAATTCACGTGCGGTTAAAACGTCGATTTCATTGAAAGGTAGTGAAATGAATACATGCATGTCCAGATTTAATTAAATGTGACACAATTCTACAAACGCTACACGCAGGTTTCAATTTCAAGCGAACATTAATTTCAAATCATAAATTTTCAGTCGCATAAACGTGAAAAGGGATCATTATCATATCTGTCAGGTTTGCACTCAACATCAATGTCCATTCTTCTCACCACGAGATGTTCATTTCATAACAGAATAGAAATGGGATTGTCAAGCGCCAGTATCAAGCCCTTCGTGGATATCATGCAATGTGAACATCAGGCCCATTCATGAGGAGCTCATTTCACTCTTTCACGATCACTCTCGATGTCTTTAAGTGCAGTTATCAACACTGCTCATTGTAGATTTCGCGTCTATTTCTCCCCCTAAGCGTTGCGAGGTTAGAAGGGTGTCTTTTATTGAGTTAAATGTGATCACCCAAGCTTATGACGAAAGAGATGAGCCAAATAGTTGTACAGTTTGGCTTTCCAGTGTCGGGTGTATCGCCTCCAGGAGAGAATCACCTGACCCTGTCACGGCCGAATGTCCCTCCCCCGAAGGCATGTTCCTTTCACAGGAAATCGACAACTAATTTTCGCGGACCTTTGTCGTGCAGGACGTTGCGTCATTTCAATCAGGTTTTCAGTTCGAACAAAGCTGTGAAGAAAATTAGTGAGATCACGCACAATATTTCAAATTAGTAGAGCTATTGTCAATCAGGAAATTCTCCTTCGGGGATTTCGTATGGGAGAAATGTTAGAACCGATGTTTTACATATATTGTTACAATGTCCACAATAGGGAAATGTTGTACATTGTTGATTAAATTGATGAAATAACAAACAAATAAACGTTTAATTAGTTTGTGACATTACAAGTAAATATGCACTAAAGAATAACATTGCTAGTCACCAACCACTTGCTTGTCTCACTGCGCTTTGCGGGACCGAATACACATTTCCGCATTTCCGCGTATATTATAATGCCATTATAAATATACATGAAGTACATATTTCCGTGTGTTTGATAATGTCATTACATTTACA